CCGCCTTCCGCTCCGTGTATACAGTGAGAGGGAAGAGCTGTGCTCTTCCCCTCTCAGCTGTCACAGGAGTTCTAACACAGTGCTGTGCTGGAACTCCTGTATTGGAGGTGACAGGGTCAATAAAGAGAACCTGTCACCTCCAAATGCTATCACACATGGGCTTGTTAGTTCCTGTGTGATAGCAATAAAGTTATGTGTAAAAAAAAAATGATCAATTATAAAAAAAATTAAAAAAGTAAAAGATGACAAGATAAATACAAATTTAAAAAAGTTAAAAAATAATAATAATAAAAAATTGGTAAAAAAAGAAACAATAAAAAAATGCAACCCTGCCACCCCCACTATCTGGTTGGCATTCTCCATGGGGGATGAAGGGGGGCGCATTGCAGAACCTGGCCTTGGGGCAGCAGGGAGAGTAAATCCGGTCCTGGCTGTCAGTGAGGGAGATGTACACTTAGAATGGTGCTTAGTAGGACAGGTGACCCCTTACATTGGTGGTCAATGGGGAAGATAAATAAAACAGTGGTGAGTAGGTTTGGTTCCCCTTACATTGGTGGTCACTGGGGGAGATGAACACTTAACAATAGTGGTCAGTGGAAGGTATGCCTTGTTATACTGCCCACTGCTCAAGGAACAGCTAGCAGTCCCTGGATGAACCCTAGAGTTCCACAGAACTGGCTGGTTTATTGTGACAAAGCAATACGTACATAATGTACTTTTAGCATATATTTCCTGTTCTGAAGCAGCAGAGAAGGTCATGTGACAGTGCACAGGTACTCTTTGTTCTTTCAGCCTAATAGGAGCCCGTCTGAGGTCTGATTGACATACCCTGACCCACTCCTACTTCGGACTGGTAGACTACATTGATGGCATCATCAGGAAAGGCATTATCATTATTAGAACAGGTGGGGGGAGGCAGATTTCAGTCCTCCAGCTGTGGTGAAACTACAAATCCCATAAGGCATTGCAAGATTCTGACAGACAGAGGCATGACTCCCAGAAGCAAAGGCATGATAGGAATTGAACTTTCACCACAGCTGGAGGGCCAAAGTTTGGCTACCCTTGCCGTAGAGTCTTGTACACTTTATGAATACACTCAAGTCAGTTTGGATCTTTCTTTAATACATACAGTATATGTTGTCACCATGACAGGAAGTGAACAAAAAGTTCCACAACAGGACCTCAGACAGCAATAAAAAAAAAACAATGGAGGATCAAGTCTGCCCCTACTCTGTTGAAAGTTGGGATTAACCTTGTTTTTCCTTTCTGTTGATCAATTAGACTTTGCATCTCTCAGCTAAAATGTTTTACAAGAAATGTCTGAATTCAGAAACACAGATGATGAGCCAGAAATATTTCTCAACTTCCCCATAGAATACAGAGACAGCTGTTGCAATGAAACCAATATCCGCTGTTGTTTGTTACAGCGTAATGATACCGGTGTGACCCCAAACCAAGTGTGTTGTGCATAACATGAGGTCCTCACAGCGAGTGGTATTATCATGGATGGTGATGCCATCAAATGGTAGAATTTAGACCAGGGGTCTCAAACTCAATTCGCTCGGGGGCCACTC